CCACCGAAAAGATGTCACGTAAAATTACAGCTGTTACGGCAGGCAATGTTAGGGCCATCCGTAAAGATGTGTTTACACACGTCAGCAAATCTTCTCGTACGTAAAATTGTTACCTTGCATAATAAGCAGTCAGCTTGCTTTTAACTTGATAATATTCCGCGAGATATAAACAATTATTTACAAGAGGGGAAAAAATTAATTTTTGTAAAAGTACGTGACTTACGGTGAGGTGACTGAATTCGGATCAGATACCAAATGCGAACCAAAAGTTTGACGAGTCGCTAATAAGCGACATTTTAAAGCAATTCATTTAAATTTTGCTCTGCTATATACTTACAACTTTATGCTATATTGCCGACGACATCATAAAAGGCATCGACGTGCTTTTATGTCGCTTGTTAGCGACTCAAATTGTTGATCCGCATTTGGTATCTGTTCAGTATTTGGTCACCTTACCCTACACATTTCCGCTATTAATAATGTGGTAAATTGTTATACTCGATATTTACGTAACTTTACACACTTTTTTTTACAATGCAGCTTAGCAATAGATAAAGCCGTGAATGCGCAGTTGCGCCGCGTATTGGTTCTCGATGTTGGCGCAACATTATTTTTTTAACCAATAAGACATGATAAAAATGTTTAAAATTATGTCTACGCTTGAAAATCATTTTAGAGATTATTTCCAGTCAGTTATTCAAGTCAAAGTTTACTCGATAAAGATTTCTAAAAAAACAAAGGCTTTAGAAAAATTTTCGATAGTTGCACAAATCAACATCTTTCGAGTATCTTGTGGAGAAAAGTCTTCCGACTCCGTAGAAAATGATTTTCCTCTGTGATCCTTCCCTTTGTTTCGAAAAATTCGATTCCGCGCGAAGTCGAGTTGGGCGCTCCTTTAACGCTGAATGATCCGCGTTTATTTCGCACGGATCTACAATTAATGCGCGCCGGCCGCTTTTTGCAGGAGATCGAGATGTGCTTGTGCATTACTTAATCACAGCCGCTGGGATACATTATGGGAGCCGTAATGGGTAATTCGATTAAATCGACCGACTAGTGGCAAGTTATGATTCGTTTAGCATCGACCTGCTGCTGCTGCTGCTTGCAGCGGTAGCCGGCAGCGACGAAAGTTAAGGCTCGTTTCAGTCGCGCGAGAAACTACTTTCCGCGAGAAATGTCGAAACTAAAACGCGACCACGGTTTTTGGGGGGGAACTCGGCAGATTAATGCACGAATAGCGTGAGAAAAAGCGTAACGAAATTGTGTCTTTATCGGTCATTTCCCTGAGCTAGACGTTATCTGAAATCAATTAATGCCACGAGAACACGTGCAGTTCCTTTAGAAATAGTCAATAAAAGTTAATTAAATAGTTTAAATAAAATTTGAATACTTAATTTTTCGATAAGATTAAAAAATTAAAGCATTTGACATCGAGGCTGATACACTAATAAAAAAAAATATCTTAATTAAAAATATTACTTTACTCAAGAAAATTATTCATTAGGTGGCTCCTAATAGCTTATTAACTTAAATTAAAATAATAATAAACAAATTAAAACATGCATTTCTTTAATTTAAGATTAAATATCAAACAGTAGATAATTTTAAATTTAAAAAATTTACTTTAATTCTATCAAATGTTTACTAAGATATAAGTTTTACAGCAAAGAAAATTGGATTTCTTATTTGACAAAAACAATGATTTCATTTAATAAATATAGTATTCTCTATCTCATGAAGTCTTTAGTTGAGTGTAGAAAACGTAATGATTTAAATTAATTCACTTAATATAATATACAGATTTACTTGAAATTTGATATTTTTATTTAAATAGAATAAATATTTACTTCAGTAAAAAAAATAATTTTAAGTAAATCTATTTACTTTGTTAAAAAATTTTTTGTCAGTGTATAAACTAATATTCCAAAAAGATATTTAGCATCTTTTAAACTACGTTTCAAGATTATGAGTTAATTGCAAGCTGCCACTTTTACAAATATGTAAATGTTGATATCCAACTTAAACACGAAAGCGGATTAATTGAGCTCTTTCCGAAATGAAGCATGCGTTAATTGGTACCTATGGCCGATATCAACGTCTTATCGAGCTCATCGCGTCTGTCCGTGAGATATAAAAGAATCGTCATCAAAATCACTAACGAAAATCTTTTACGTCGTTCCGTGTCGACTACCGTGAAGATGGCTTCGCCGGCGATCGCGGTTTGTGCGTGATAAACGATTACCTTCAATTTTCACCGTCGCGTGTCCGCGAAAGAAAACCGGTTGTTTCTTAATTTTATAACTGTATTTGGTAAAACAAACAGTAGTGCACTCACACAGAACAAATATTCCTCCTCGACTTCGCGTCTTCGTGTGTGTCGAACAATAATTTCTCGCGTAACTGCCCATCTATAATTGAAGAAAGATTGTCTTCCTGGCTTCGCAGTGAAAAAAAAAACAAAATGTTCTTTATTTATATGTACATTTAACGAGCGCTGCTCTTTTATCTTCCACGGCCTTACAATGCGTCACAAGAATTTACCCTTTAGACGTCGTCCTTTCAATTTTAATTTCATCCAGCATTTTCTTACATTTCTAATTGGCGTGTGTGCGTGCCGATGAAGACTCACAATTAGCACAGTTCACTGTGTATCGCCAATAAAGTATTTTTTATCGACGATAACCACAAGCTGTTGGTATCTCTTGATTTTATGACTTCGTTTGTACATTTCAAGTGCGTTGGTCTTTTATTAAAATGCTCTTGGATTTCGTGTAAATTTACCACGCGTTTAATTTCATTTTGACGAATCAATATATTTGTGCCGGCAGTGTATCCAACTCTATTGGCGTATCTCGCGTCGAATCCAAACTGCACGCTCTTCGCTGACGAACGTGGGGCGACGTACATAATCGACGCCAGCGAACGTGTTCTTACACAGGCCGAGAATGAAGAGATCAGTGACGCTGCCCTTAAAACTACCTTCCTGTTGTACACTCGGTATAGACGAAGTACCGGCGCGAAGATACAGGGAAGATAACGGTCTCTAATCGACTTTTCTCCTTAGAAACAATCGGCAAGTCGGGCAGCCGCTCGTCATCAACGATACGGATAGCGTGAGTAAGAGTTTCTGGAATCCCGCTCATCCCACTCGTATTGTCACTCACGGATGGCGAGGAGACACAAACGCTGGATCTGCTTGCGCCAGCATTCGGGACGGTAAGATCGCCGTCAATCTCAATAACTTGAACAATCCTTACTCTTCTAGGATCTTACAATAAAATAAAATTCCCTTTTTCTGGATTCTAAGTAAAATTTTTCTCCGATACAATTTCACCCCCCCCCCCCCCCCCTTTGACCTGTTGTGCTCCGGCTTCGAATTCCGGAACTTTTAATTCTGCAAATTCTCTAAATTTAATTTTCTTTGGTTCCCCGATTCCTCGATATAGAATCCTTGTTTCTCTCTCCTCGTTACTTTCAATTCTCCGGATTCCTTAAATTCTCAGACATAATTTGAATTTCTCAACTCTCGGATTCCACGCGTGCCCCGAGTTTCGGCGACTAATTTCTATTTTATTAATATCTCCTCTTCGGCATCCTCAGCTTTTCTCAGCGTCGGCGACTATAACGTCATCCTAGCCGACTGGAGCCAGGCGGCCGGAAGTCTCTGGTACTGGAATGTCGCGCGTACGGTGCCACTAGTGGCACGATACATGGCAGACTTGATAGATTTTCTGCAGAGCAATGCCGATCTGGATCCTTCAAAAACTAAAACAATAGGACACTCTCTAGGAGGACATGTCGTCGGTCTTGCCGCTCGAAATTCAAAGAACGGGGTCGCCGAGGTGGTAGGTAAGTCCAGGGAACATCATTAAGAAGAAGGGGAACGAACCAGTTTATTTAAAAATAAACAATAATCGAGAGCTTTCGAAACCTTCGGGAAAAAAGGATTGAGAAAGAAACATGGACTTTCTCGAAAGACAGTCGTGAAAAACGGCATGGTGAGATATAAAAGATAACGACAGAAAATAAACAAAAAGAACCACTCTTGATAAACTTGGCAATCTTACAATATCTCCGTCAAAAATCGCAAAAAAAAAGCTAAAGTGGAATACGATTTGCAGCTCTAGATCCCGCGAAGCCCGCGTTCGGATCGGTGGGGCCGGGCGAAAGAGTGGACAAGTCAGACGCGGCTCGGGTCCAGGTGATTCACACGAGTACTCTGGGTCTAAAAGGGCCGATCGGCCATGCCGACTTTTATCCGAACGGCGGCAAAAGTCAACCGGGATGCCACTGGTTCGGTACGTGAGGCTCGCTGTCCGAAACCACCGAAATCAACGTCGCTCGCTCGCTCATTAATTGAAGCGCTAATTGATTCGCAGCGTTCGCATGCGCGCACTCGAGGTCTTACGCGTACTACGCCGAGTCCATCCTAAATCCCACGGGCTTCCGCGCCGGGGACGTGTTCATGGGTGGACCATCCCTCGACCCGAAGTGAGTGTCATCTCATTTTTCAGTAATAAACACCTAGTGTCATCCACTCGCACAAATTAGCCGAGAGATTGTACCAGCAGGAAAGATTTTCAATGCTATCCGATCGTTCATAAAACAGGATCGATATAGCGACACTGCTATTTATTAGCGCGAAGAGAATATTTTAATTATAAACGGAAAGTTAACTTTAGAATAGAATGTGGTGGGTGCGCGCGTCATAAAACATCGGGAGAAGAATTATTCTAAAACGCAAGAATGCATAATCTTAATTTTATATATATGTCGCCCTCATCTCAATGTAATTTGAAGGAGAAGAATAGGAATTATTGGCTTAATATGATTTTCTACTAAATGAGGCTATGTGATAGGTTTAAGTATGTCAAGAATATTTTTCGTCTTGTTGTCGGAAATCTTTTCTGAGAGAGCTCATTCATTTGTCGCTTGTCATTTTCAGCGCGCATGGAGAGTACATTCTGGAGACCGCCAAGGAACCACCTTTCGCACTCGGATAGGAATCGACACTATTGTTACTTAATCTTTTTACATTGCACGTACACCTGCGATAGAAAATTAAGTTTTTTTTTACAAATACTCCGAAAGCTCTACGTATTATTTGAATAATTCACTTTACGTTTTCTTTATGAGTCACGCGGTTTATTGAAATTGCGTCCCACTACGTCAATCAACTTCAATCAAAGTTTATTGTCATTATTATTATTATCAATAATATCGACGGATGAATTCTCATTTTATCTTGCAGCTAGATATCCTTTAAGTTATCAAAATTTTTAGCAATATAAAATGAACTATACTATCTTTCATTATACCTTTAATTGTACCTCTCTCGAAAAAAAAACGATATGCGATTATAATCATTAATTATTTTCCGTAATCTTTTTTTAATTAATCTCCGTTCGAACTTGATTGACGCCTATGATTTATGATCGCTAACGGTATCGATATTATCAACGGCTTATCGATCACGCCACCGAATAGATGTCTATCGGCGAGGTATAAAAGAAAATGTAAATCTGTACCTTCAATGATTCGTCAAAGTTATCTCGAAGATGATCGTTCCGCCGGCAATCGCATTATGTACGTAAGAGGATTAATTACTTTCGAATTTCGTAATTAAGTATCCGTGAAAGAAAGACTATTCTTGGACTTACGATAAAAAAAAGGAAACGTTATCCCTCAATTTCGCAGTTTTGTAAAAGATATACTCGCAGTTGCGTCTATGTAGAGGAGAAAATTATTATCAGATTATGGCGCAAATCTGTGGCATATTTAATTCCATTTTGGAGAAATATTGTAAACTGATGGAGATGCCCCTCGCTTGCAGTGTACCCCACTTTGTTGGCGTCTATCGCGACGAATTATACGATTTTCATCGACCATGAAAAAGTACACGTGATCAGTATCAACGAGCCTCAATTTACGCAGGCAGAACTCGAAAAGATCCACGAATCCGCTCAAAAGACCACCTTCCATTTGTATACCCGGTAATGTGTATATGTGTATCCGAGAGATACGGCAATTTGTGTACTCGAAACACTAGCGCAAATCGTAATTACGAAACACATCGCTTCTCTAACAATTTCTACTTCTTTAGAAATAACCCGGTAATTGGACAGCAGCTATTCGTCGACGATCTGGATAGCGTGAAGAAGAGTTTTTGGAATCATGCTCATCCCACTCGACTGGTCACTCATGGATGGCACGGAACTTGCGACGATGCTTCTTGTACCCTGGCTCGAGACGGTACAGAATTGTATTAACTTATTAAACCCTGAGAGGCCTCTGTGCTTTTCTGTTTTAAAAATACTTGCAACTCGAATCCGAATACAAATTTTTTAATTGCATTTGATATTTAGAGGTGAAAAGAGTGACTCTTTCCAAAAATCTAATCAATGAAATATCTGAAAAAAAAACAGATTAAAAGTGAAGGTAAAAAAACAGTAACCCCTGCTTTTATATTAACAAATTTAACTGAGAAATAATTTCGTCTTTCTGAGTAGAATTTCTGTTTTAAATCATCTAAATAATAATTATTTCGATTTATTCTACTAAAAAAAAAAGCAGACGAAATTGTTTAATAGCTGAATATTTGCTAGTAAATAACCAGGGGCCACTTATTTCATTACCTTCATTTTCCACCTTCGCGCACATCTTATTTTTTCAGGTGTCTCTATCGCCGACTTTCCGAAAAGAGCAACTCTTTTTATCCCTAAATACTAATTGTGGTGTAAAAATGTTGATTATGAAGTTGCAAGGATTAAAAGCGGAAAAAGAGATCTCCTAGGATTTAATGGGGGATTAATCTTAATTACTTTTGAATCCTTGTTTCTTTGGGATTCCTTGTTATAACATTCTCTCTCTCCCCTCTCCCCCTCTTCTGCGTCGCTTTTAAATTTTTAAACTTTTATTTTTTCAATTCACTATTTGATTTTCTAAATCTGCATAATTTTCATTTTTCTCCCTTTATTTTCAATTTTCTATATAATATATAATTTCTTGAAATATTCTCCTTTTTACAAATCCTCCAATTTAATTAAGATATCTCATCTCCTGGTTTTTATGTGAGCGTAAATATTTATGTCGCAAGTCACGATTAATCTCTACTCTATTAATATCCTCAGCTTATCTCAATGTTAGCGATTACAACATTATCTTCATCGATTGGCGAGAAGCAGCCAGCCAGTTCTATTGGGAGTCTGTGAAAAGTGTACCACTCGTCTCGCAACGCACAGCCAGTCTGATAGACTTCCTAGAGAACAGTGCAGGTCTCGATCCTGACAGGACCATGGTAGTTGGAGTTTCCTTAGGAGCGCATGTTGCCAGCCTAAGTGCTCGTTTCGCGACTAGCGAGATTGGCGAGGTAATCGGTAAGTTTAGCGAAGAGCTCTTGATTCCTTAGTTAGCTGTTAGTTCGACCCGAGAGAATTCAAAATATGTTCAAACATGAATTACCGATCAGCTTTAGATCCTGCGGGACCTGCTTTCGGGTCCAAAGGACCAGGGGAAAGAGCAGACAGGTCAGACGCGGTGCTAGTGCAAGTGATACACACTTGCACGAAGTTTGTCGGCCTGAAATCGGAGATCGGCACCTCCGATTTTTATCCCAATGGCGGCGAGGAGCAACCAGGATGCGGCCCGATCAGATGGATTGGTAAGTGAAGCTCAAGTTGACGTCACTCGATGATGATTCATTAGTTAACAAATTAATTAATCTATAATTCACAGGCGATTTGGATGCGATGGGATGCGCGCATGCAAGGGCTTTCCTGTACTACGTCGAATCCATCGGGAACCCCACAGGTTTCCGTGCCGGGAACGTGTTCATGGGAGGACCATCCCTCGATCCAAAGTGAATATAATATTTTTATTCTTTATTATGTATAGTTATCTTTCTTCAAAACACGATACACACTCTTTTCTGTTTCCATTGCCGCTCCTCCCCCTTCTATTTCTTTCAATCGATCTAGTGTTAGAAATTTTCACGTTTTTTTTCACGTGAATTAATCGAGATATTAATTAATTCTCTCGTCATTTTCAGCGCACGTGGGACGTACGTTCTGCAAACTGCCAGCGAATCACCATTTGCACTCGGATAATAATTAATACTATTATTTAACGCTTATTACGTTCTGTACATATTCCTTAGATTTTATATACCTATTAAAATATTTTATTATAAACTAATTTCATATTATTTTGCTATTCAATCGAAATTACTTCTTTCGTATTACTTCAGCAACTCACATTAACGAACAATACTTAAATATTTATTCGATATAAGTAACGAAATATAAAACAAACGCCAGAAAACCTATTTTTTCCAATTTGTCAAAATCGTTAAGAAATTTAATTTCAGAATTGCCTATTTATGCCACCATCCATTACAACAATTTATCGTTGTAAATAAAGATAAACTCGACAGGCTGTAATGATGTGGTCTACAGAATTTCCTGCAAGAATGGTGTAGCCACATATGTGGAACAGACTAAGAGACAGCTAAAAACTAGACTAAAGGAGCATTATATGTACAGATATAAGTAAAAATTCACCATCTCCTTCTGTCATATCTTATCACAGAATGAATTCTAATCATGAATTTGATTGGGACAATGTCCGTATTCTTGATAAAAAATCTTTCCATAAAAGAAGACTCGTTTCAGAGATGGTGCATGTGAAATGACAAATTGCTCCTATTAATAAACAGACCTGTTAGCAGTCGAATATCTCCCTATTTTGAATTCACTTTCTCCCCCCTCACATTAATTTCGTTACTCCCTTCTTTTTGCTTCTTTTGTTTATTCCATTCCCTTCCTCTCAACACACTCATATCCTATCCTTGTTATTTACCCTTTGTCCCTCATTTCAGTAACGTCATCCACAATGTTCAACACGACTCCAAGTAGCTATCTCTTCTTCTTTCTCTTCCAATATGGCACTAATTTTTACCGTTCTCTCGATTGTTACAGTTTTCTTTTATAATTCACCATGTTACAAATACTCACGTCGCGTTTTATGTACGACCGTCCTATATTTCGTTATAATTTTTATATATTTTCACATTTTATACTATTGACTGCGTAATTCTTTGCATTATTTATCTTATGCTTTATATCATGCGTTAATTTGTATTTCTCAACTTATAATTCTTACTTTATACTGAAGATGGTCCAAGGAGGACCGAAACGTATACTCATTTTTAATTAAAGAATTTTTTTAGACACTACAACCCTATCTAGGTTCTAAGCCCTTTCTATAATTACGAGAGTTTTATCATACGAGCCATTGCCATTTATAATATTATACTATTTTTCAAATTTCAATTTTTTAGCTTCATATTTTTGCCATAATTTTGAGTCGTTTAAACAACATATTTTGAAATAAATTTTTTTTATTACCAAAATTTATTCCTTGTGTTGCTCGACTACTAGATTTTTCATATTATTAGATCAAAAATATATTTTTACTGTTTAATAATGTTTAAAATAGTATGGAAAATAAGTCTTTGGATGAAGAAGCGTTATAAAATGCGCGTTAGACTTACCGCGACCATATCTTCGATCGCCTGTGTTGATTTGGATCCCAGCATGACCATCCCCATGGCGATTCCAGCCGCTTCACCGGTCACGGCGTCGTCTTGATACAAATTGAATTTTAATTGTTCATAAACGTCTTGTCTATGTGAACCCATCGCGGCCAATCCAAGGCCGAGACAGCCACCATGGCGGACCATCTGGAACAGGTTGCAAGGGATAAATTGTCAAATTTGATTATCGTACATCAAAAGATTTGTTTCAAATTATAATTTGACAAATATCTAATTTCAATGAAAAATATTGTAATTTGGAAATTCAATAAAATAAAAGAGCATATACGCGAAAATATTTATTAAATGCAACGCACCTCGTTTTGGGCATCTTTTAATTGGCCTAGGAGGTAGTCCGTGATAGCTGCCCCGTGATTAGCATGTATAAGTCCCAAAGCATATAAACCACCGCCTTCAGAGTACCCGGCACCGGCGGCACCAGAATCTCTCGGCAGATAAGACTGCATCAGAGCTAAAGCTTCTTGTTCGTGACCCCGGTGAATAACTCCCAAAGAAGCTGTCGCCGTCAGCTTCGCCCAATTAGTGGCACGAGCCAACCACTCCAAATTATCCCTGAAAGATAACAAGTTCCAAAACATTAGAAATCCCACGAAAATTTTACTCTTCATACTTTTCGTATTCCATTCTATTATTAATTTTTTTAAGATAAAATCATAATAAACAAAACTATTAGAAACTTAAAAATTTCACAAGCTTATTCTTTATACCGTTACTGTTAAGAAAAATAAAAACAAATTTAAATGTCGAATACCAAAGATATAAAAAATGCTTAATGAGGTGTCAAAGAGAGATACCTCAGGAACTGATCGCTTGTCGTCCCGGAATGCATGAAAGCATTCGCAATGACGGTGGCAGTGTGACAAATTGAGACTCGTATGGCGTCCTTGGTGTTTTTCAGGATTAACATGTCGGTATGATTGCTGCGAATCAGGAACTGCAAATGTAAATCGATAGATACTTCGCCGCCCAGAATACTGGATAAAGCGTCCACACGCTCTTGCTGTTCTCTCTCCTCCGCGTTCTGAGAAAAAAAAATGTCCCAAATTAATATTTATCTTGAAACATATCAATATATGTATTTATTAACTACTCAAGTTTACTTCTCGAGAGAATTAACACTCACCAAACTCTCGACGCTGCGCTGAGCCTTTTCTTCTCCGGCGGGGACAGCAGTTTCTTCGTCAACCTCCATATTCGCGGACTCTGTGCTAGCTTCAGTGGTTTTGACAGCGACGGCAGCGGATGGCTTAACCACCGGTTTAACCATCAGCGCGCCCGGGATGGGGGCAGTAGCTCGCAGAGCCTGTAGAACACGACCGAGAAACTGCTGAGTTGCAGACTCGTACAGGTCGAAGGCAATCTGATAGGCCATCAGCACGCAGTCGTGCGAGCCCTTGCTCAATCGGTCGAGAAGCTCGGCCACGGCCAGCGGATCGTCCAGGAAGATTAGGCACTGACACATGTTGACGTAATCGGGGGTGCCGAGGTTCCGGTAGAGACTGACCAAGCAACGGAGTACGGTATTACGAAATCCACGATTCTGAATCAGACTCATGGCCACTTGGAAGGCATACGACAGCATTCCACTCACGTCATCCTAGAAAGAAAAACTCTCCCTGGTATTTTCATGTCTCAATTTAACCCTGAATAAATAATTTATTTCATAAGTCAGAAATAAATACAAATCTGTACAGATCGCATAGAATACCATATCGACTAATCTCGTGCGAAATCGTATCTCGATTTCACGCAATTTCCGATCTTATTCTTGTACTACTCTTCTGATCCAGAATGAGCGTTTAAACAGAAAAAAACAGAAAATTACGTAAAATCGAGATACGACCTTGCGAAGGAGAGCAGTAGACATATTAATCTGTGAAGAAATTAGGTTGATGCGGAACTCTGCATAGTTAAGAGTAGTTTATTTGTGATCAGCGAGCTCCCAATCCTCATTTCGTGTGTCTCACTCGAGGGGTAAACCGCTGACCAAAATCACTGACCGGTGAAATACACTGACCGGCAATGAATCATTTAGCGAGAGGGGAATTGTTGTTCCCCCACACGTTGATAATTCGTCGATCGGCTAGAGTGTAGAAACAAGTCACTTCCCCTCTTACAAAACGATTCGTTGCCGATGACTGTACACGATGTCTATTAATGCACTAAAATTCGATGGTAATTACTTTATCTTACAATCTTATCTTGTCTGATCTTTTTTATCTTTTTAGATTCCTTGTAATGGCCCGACAAAGCCAAATAACATTCGCTAAAGCTCAAAAAATACCTAGTAATGCCGCGAATGTGTATGTACACCACAATGTCCTCAGCAGTTAACCCCTCGGCCTCAGCTTATAAGAAGTTGAATGGAAGATTGTATGAAATGTAAGGAGAGCTTATGAACTATATCGTAAAAAAGAAAATCAATAACCAAGCACTTACGGACTGCATAATGGCCGCTTCGAATATGTCCATCCTGCGTGTCTCCAGAGCGAGACCCAGGGCCTGGCGATATTGATTGTCGTCCAGGCAACGTTGAAACATTCGATTCACTATTCCCTCCAGTCTGGGATCGATACCCTTGCTGCCTGGCGGGAGTTTTCCCTCCGCTTCCAAGACACGTTGTTGAGTATAATAATCAATGCACTTGGCTGAAAAATTTGATAATAAAAAGTTAACAGATTGAAAGAGCAAACGATAGGACTCGGCAGGATATGATATCAGCGTACCAATGGTAGTATCCACATATTCGTTTCGAGCATTGACGTCAAATAGCTCCCCCGCTCCGAGGGCGTAAGTCAACGAATCCTCGAAACTCCCCAAATGATAGTACACTTTGCTGGCAACTAGAGCGGCCAGCTCGTGTTGCTGAAATAATTTATCTTCGTGCAGGATTTCGCTGCAAACAGGGCATTAATTTAGAAAATACTGGTCTAACAAGCAAGAGGATGTAACAAGTAACGACGCCAAATAAGATCGGCAAGGATCTTAGTTTGTTTCTCCCTACATACATCTTTTCTATAGCTTCGGAAATCTCAGGCCAGAATTCGTCGACTATCATATCCAGCTTTTTCAGGGCAAAGACCTTCAATTCAGGCATCGGTTCCTCCAATAAGGAGATTATGCCGGCTGGAAACAATTTTAATTGCATTCAAGTTGACGTTTTATTATCATAAAATAACGATGTGTTATAATTAATGTTACGTACAACAAACGCGGAAATTATAAATAATAAAATATTAACAAACGCAAAAATAATAAATATTAAATAATATTCAACAAGGTCTTTGCATGGCTCGATCAACTTTTGCCGAGATCTGCTTCTGTATCTCCCTTTAGCATCGTATCAAAAATGGATGCTCCGAAATTGTCGAGAAGAGAGGTTTGAGGTTAAGGTTTGCACGACTTGCAAATCATCATGCGGGAGCTCTTGTAAAAGTGATGAAATTTTCGCATGATCGATAGAAGACCGATGTTAATTGAACAATTAAAGATTATTTAACGATTTACCTGCTGACGTTATATTCATCTTGTTGAATTTCATTGGATGACGGCAAATCTCTCCAAGAACGACTCGTTGCACGAATAGACAGAGCGTCTCTGTCGTCTCTGTATTTCTGAATTCTGGCTTCTGTAAGCGCAAGTGGAGGGGGAAAACCACGAGTCAAAGGGTCTGTTCTTTATAGCTGAACCACAGTCTCTCCACAGTAGTCTCTCTGCAGTGGCATTCAGGTGGGGTTTCTGAACGCAGCTTCACTCGAAGGCCTCGAAGCGCGGCGGCCGCGGCGCTAGTTATCGACGGTGTAAATATAACCTAAAAGTCTCGGTTTGGCTACGGCGTCCACGCAATGGGTGTGCTCGCATAATTCGCGGTGTTTTACGGTGAATAATTACTTTAATTGTACAAAGAGAACGAAAGCATGTCGGAAAAGACGAAAAGTATGAGCCACGTAAAACATATTCCCAAAGATGCGCAAGTCATCATGTCAATCATGAAGGACATGGGTATAACGGATTACGAACCCAAGGTGATCAATCAACTGTTGGAGTTCACGTATCGTAAGTCTTCTCTCTTTTATCTTAATAGCTTTACTTCGATGACGCTTCCATTAAGATGCTTTATTTCTCTAAAACGTTATCTTGAAATGAAAAGAACTTGCTCCTCAGGATACGTCACGTGCATATTGGACGACAGCAAGGTGTACGCCAACCATGCTAAAAAGAAGTTCATCGATCTGGACGACGTCAGGCTGGCAGTCAAGATGCAGCTGGAGCGCTCGTTCACGAATCCACCGCCCAGAGACGTCCTGTTGGACGTGGCACGAACCAAGAACAACATTCCGTTGCCTTTTGTCAAGCCCAACAATGGCCTCAGACTACCACCGGATAGATATTGCTTGAACGCAACAAATTACAAACTTAAAAACGTCACGAAGAAGGTGGTTCAAAAACCTGTGCATTCGTTGGTAGGCAATAATCAATCCGGTGGACAGCCGAGACCGAAAGTGGAGGGAAATAAGGCCGGTGTGTCGATTGTTAAAAGGCCTGGTACACTTGCCACTGTGGCCAGGACTCAAACCATCTCTATACCGAAACCCGTTTTGAAGTTCTCCACAGGTAATGCGTTGTTTCTGTACATACTTAATGTTTATTATAATATGTTAATTTTTTTGCTGATGCACCACTTCGTTCTCCTACTAACTAATCTACTTAATACAAAGTAACGTGTCCGTTTCTCTATTTCCAACCTCAGCTCCATTCCGCTTACTGCAGTCCCATTTCTCCATACCATTCCGCATTTCCTTTAGAACTCCAACAAGTAAGCTTCTAATATAGAAAAAGGAAAACACTGAAGAATATGCATAGTTAGGCAACTTGTGTTATTGGAATCTGCATTCTTCACTCAATACTAAATTAAAGTAAAAAAATTGATTTTAATTATATTTCAAATTAGGTGTAACTGAAAATGTTTTAATTAACCGAGGTACAAGGTATTTAATCTATGTTAATATCTATGCGAATATTTTTACAGCAACGACAAGCACTACAGCGGTGAAGACGCAAGCAACAAAGCCGAAGATACAAATTACTTCCAATCAGACGTTACCAGCCGTAAAGATGGAGACCGACGAGTCATTGAAGAGAAAGCGAGAGGAAGATGACTACGATGTGTCGTAACCTAGACTTAAATGTTTGTTTTTCGTTTAATTCTTAATATTCTTGAACTTCTGTAATAATAATAATAATATGTTCTTTGTTAAAATAATACGAAGAGAATATACAAAGCCTAAACAATAAAATACGAGATTGTATAAGACGCATATTTATTGTTAAATCACTTGTACATTGTGAAATCATTTTATTTCATTAGCTTCGTCTTCCGTGTAATCTTCTTCCAGTTTCGACGTATCTGTAACTTCTTCTTCGTCCTCCTCTTTGCGAGTGACATCCGCAGGCTCGACTTCTTTTTCTTCATCGAAAACCACAGTCTCTTCAACTTCAGCTTCCTCCTCCTCTTCCTCCTCCTCCAACTCTTCCTTTTCTTTCTCCTCCTCGTCCTCTTGCTCCTCTTCGTCCTCCAACTCTTCCTCCTCCTCCTCTTCTTCTTTTTCTTCAACTTCCTCCACGATTATCTTTTCCACTTTTTCCAAAGGCACATCTGGCATTGTTTCCTCGACTAAATCAGGTTCCTTCGTAATCGTCGGCGGCTCAATTGTCTCCTCCACTAACACTTCCGGTTCAATGATCGGTTCTTCTTTCACGATAGACGGTACTTTCTCAGGTACCAGACTGGGCTTTTTTAGCACATCTCCCTCTCTAACACACTTCTTTCGGTGCACCGGAAAGAAGAGTTTGAAATCTTCAGGCATCTCGTCTTCTGAATAAAGCCTAAAAAAATGTTGAACGTTTAATTTAACGCCTGTAAAGAGACGAACAATCCATTGATTATAAATGTGTGTGAATTAATATACTTAATAAATATTTTCACATTAACTCATCACAATACCATAAATTTAATACATTTTATGGCATCTGTTAAGATTTAAGTGAAATCAATTAAATGACATTAATTATGATTCACCGATAACTGATAATTAAATTCATATAATGCAAAATTTCATCGATAATTAATTAAAGAATTAATTTATATAGCAGATTCTTGCCTATCGGCGAAATAAATTCGTCTGATCCTGCAATTGGCGTGTATCTGCATTCTAGTGGTTTCAATGTAATTTGTGCCATAGGCTCGTCGCGTAAAATCACACAAGTTGAATTGAATTTGATTCCATCCGCCTGAAAGCCCGATGGGCATGGACGTGCAAAATGGACGAACGCGCGTCGTGCTCTGAAAGTTGCTCACGCGAAATCTTCTGTGCATGTTCTTATCGTCCAGTATCTATTTGACAGATTATTCCTCTAAGTAAACTTTCGAGACTGCAATATGCCAGTCTATGATAATAAGATTTTTTTATAGGAAAAGAAGCTCATGAAAGAGGAAAAGTTTCGTTTGAGGGAGAAAGAGAAAAGGTCTTGTTTAAATAACAGAAATTAGGAATCTTATTCAAGGCACATCTCTTATTTACAAAAGAAGATAGAAAGCTTTATTTATTAAGAGCAACAAGTACCCGTGCACTCGCACATTTACCCTAAGGAATAGGATGGAAAACTTTGTGTGAGAAAGGAAATTGGAAGCCTTATTTATTAAGTACATATTCACATGGGCTTTACTGTTATCTCGAACGTGAAATACTTCTTCATGTTCTTGATAATGATGATAAGGAAGGGCAGCTTAATGCCGAGCACTTTCTTCGGATCTGCCGGACAGTAAATATACGTTGTAGCCACATTGGTCCCAGCTATTTCCAATGCCAACGACTTAATCTCTTCGTCTGTGATTCTTCGTATATATCCGTTTTTCACCTAAATAAATGGGTGCGTAATACTAGACGATAAATTTAGATTCTTAACGTTATTCTTATTGGAAATATTACAACGTTAATTGTTTTACTTAAATATATATACTTCGTGTAACTTTAGGAGGCTAGAACGCTATAAATAGCTATAAATACTTTTCAATTGTAATGAAAGCTAACGTGCATGTCCCACAGTTCCAAAGGAGTCGACCCGCAACTATACAAAATAGACAGGAAGCCCCCCTGGTAAGTGTTTCGAAACATTGCTTATATTTATTTATAAAGATATGTATTTTTCCTTGTTCGCGCACCCCTTGCTTTACAGTTTGACAAACGTCCAAGTCAAACTGGATGCTTTCCTTTGTTTCTCGAATTTTCTCATTAATTGCAAAGTTCCGTCACATGGACAAAAATTATAAATCAAACCGCATTTAAATGAATAGTAATGTTTTTCTTTTTAGAAAGCGAGTACCTATAATCTTTAATTATTAAAGTTATTTCAGCATATTTACAACGCCGACTTAAAGCTTTTCTAAAACGAACATAATCCTGATAAAACTTTTTATATCACAATCATAATTTCTTGAAATTAAAAACGCAAAAGAATTCAATTACTTCGCAATCGTAATCACGGGAGTAATTAGAAATTTATTGATGTAATTACAAGAAATAATTGCAGCAGATTGACATTAATTACAAAATTAAAGGAAGAGAGAATTAAATAATAATTAAGTAAAATGTACGAAAAATCTCTTTTTATCGTAATTATACCCAAGGGATTTTATTAAGGATCTCGTATGAGCTCGTTCAGTCGGCGTCTCTCTTTTTTCGTCAATGGATCCGGCACAATCAGCATCTTCGGCGACATCCCGACGCTGAAGACGCGATCTATCCTCACACCATCGAGAGCAAACATCTGGATCATGGCGAAATGCGCGATCTCGCGATTTAGCTGCTGAAATGATTGTCGCTTAATCCTTTGCACGCGATGCCTGCAGACCACGTGGCTAAAAAAAATAAAACAATTAATTCTGCAATTAATTATGAAAGATTTTCAATACATATAAAAGTATATATGTATATTAAATAAATTATATTAAATACTAAATTAATAAAAAAAATTAAACAAAGTTTATGGTAAGCTAATGATTGCTTTAAACTTTAAAGCCTCAGTAATGTTTTCCAGAACGTCTGCTATGCCTAATAAAATTAACACTTTATATAGATATAATATATATTTTAGTATAACAAAAAAACTACATTTTATTTTAGCAATATTGAGTGATTTAGTCGACCCAACTGGCATAAACTTTATTGAATTATATCCACTACGTTTCGACCATCCGGATTGTGGTCCTTCTCAAGTGATTTGTGCTTACATGTATTTGAACATGTGGATTTCAAATACATGTAAGCACAAATCACTTGAGAAGGACCACAATCCGGATGGTCGAAACGTAGTGGATATAATTCAATAAAGTTTATGCCAGTTGGGTCGACTAAATCACTCAATATTGTTAATTATTTACTGGCGACAACAATATCTACCTCCGTCATTTTATTTTAGTTTTATTTAATAAGTTTGCGTTGATTGATTGAATCCTTACTACGGCAAGATTTTCAAGCCGGTGTAGCTGGGATGGATCGACACGTCACTTCGATATAATTCCGGAAATAGCTTCATATGCTTCGTGCGGTACTTGCGAGACACCGGGTTTCCTTCCGCCTCCTTCGAGAAATCCTTCGGCTCTTGAAGGCCTCCGGAAATATCCAAGTTCTCATCTTTCAACGACGGATTATTTTTCTTGCTCATTCTCGAAATCTGGTGTTAACTTCCGCCGCTTTCTAGAATAGTTCAACATATCGATCACAATTCTATTATACGGATAAGAAATGTTTTCACGCACCTTTTCCTGTCTAAAAAATTTCCCCAAGTTAGTCTAAGTTGTATTAGATTAATCCATTGTTAAACCAAGCTTTATTGGTTTAACAAACGTATTAAATCAAATGTTTCTTAGGGCCATATTTTTTTCCGCACTTTCCTCACACACAGAAGACTGTTTTTGTAACAGCACAGTATGTTTTCTAAGTACCGTAATTTTTACCTCGACGCAATTATTTTTAAGGCCACAGAATTTGGCAGATTTGACGAACGGGCGACGAATTCGACGGACGATTCAAGGAAAGTTAGCCGATCCGTAACGAAGTGAGCGCCTGTGCCTCGTACGGTTATCGATTCGGTTTCCAGGTGAATCAATAGAGAGATTCGGCTTATTCTTATTCCGAGTCGTCAACGATGAGCCCACAGAGCACTGAACTCTTCATGCAAGACAGTAGGACGCGAGCTCGTAAAATATTACAACGCCGGTAGAAATAGAAAGTAATCATCCGATTGTTACTTGTCGATTGCCGGATCCGACAATCGAGAATTCATAGCTTAAAAGAAGAATTCAGAAATAAGAAAAAAATTTGGACAAGAATAAATATAAGGATTTAAAAATTATAGCATTTAAAAGCCGAAAATCCGTATGGATCCGATTCATATCATTTCTTCCAACTTTGAGACAAAGAATTCTGCAAATGCTAGTGTGATTTAGAAAATTAAAAGATTCAGAAATCTAAGGAATCCTCTGCAATCCGAGCAACTTGGTAATTGTCGCAGATTCGAGAATTCTGGAATTCAAAAATCTAGGATTAAACCTCCACGCCAAAAGATTTTTGGACTCGATGCTATTATACTTCGATCTATCATAAAGTGGGATCGATACAGCGACAATTATACTCATTTATTGTTGAAAATTTCTTAAATCTATAATAAAATGATGTTGATGCGTGCGTTGTAACACAGCGGGAGAGGATTTATTCTAAACGCAAGAATATATCAGTCTAAATTTATACGCGTTACCCTTATCTCAATATAGTAAGTCAATATTATTAGAGAATAAAAATGATACGACTGTCTAGGATTATTGATTTTTAATCTCAATATTGTATTATTTTTTCTCTCTCTTGACACGTTTAAAAGAATTCACAAACTCACTGTATTGTGACAACTTTTGATATGTCAAAAAGATTTTTGTTGTGTTGTCAGAAATTCTTTCTGAGAGGGCGAACTGTTCGACCCAAAGAAAACCTGTTTAGAGACAGTACAATTGTCTTTCGCACTTTAATGCTTTTTATGGCCT